CGGGCCCTCTGACCACCACCAGTAGGCAAACATGGGATTAGTATCTTGCCCAAGGACACAACGACTGAGACTGTCCAAGCCGGGGCTCGAACCGGCAACCTTCCGATTACAAGGCGAACTCCCAACTCTTGAGCCACGATCGCCCCATAATACAGTATAATGATGGTGTCGAAATAAGCCAATGTGAATAGATTCCAAATGGATCCAGACAAGGTGGGCCTGAAATATTCCACAGCCATCTCTGATCCCGGCTAAAACAATATCCATCTTGGATCGGTCCTTGACAACTAACAGATATAAAAATCACTTTACCAAAAAATGATTGAAGCATCTACATCTACTGGGATAAAATAGCTAAAATAGTTTGATATCATTCATGGGAGATTTGTTTGGAATATACTCATCAGATTATAGGCTAAGAAGTTATTTCCATACCAGAAAATACCAGAAATACACCTGGTTTGGGTTGACTGGCTGAGAATGATTTGGTTGATTTGAAGAGTAAAATATGTCAATTCTGAATTTCAGAAACTGTACCTTTTAAATCTTATTTGACATAATTTAATGACTAGATCTCAATTTGTGTTCAAATTTCAACATGACATGTAATCGGATTACAATCAAATTATCTGCAGCTGCTTTTAAGCCACCTACAATATTTTTATTCATTTGAGCTTCATCTTTGGTCAGATATTCACATAATGTGACAATGTGCCCAATTACAACATGACCAATGATCAGTGTGTCTGTGTCTGAAGTTTTATACAGTTAAACTGTTAAACTGAAAGATTGAATTTTGTTGTGCCCAGCCTACTCTGGAGTTTTAAAGCTCCTTATTACCTGCCTGTGTTGAATCATATTGAAGATGCATGTGTAACATATGTGGACTTTGACAGTGTTTTAAAAGGGTCACGGTTAAAAATGTGCTAAAGGTGTTAAACTTATCCCCAAATGTAGAGTTGCAATAAATATTACTGGATTTCCTATATAAACATCCACTGTCCTTCAGTGGGTTTGATTTCTGACAATTATGGTGTAAACACAATACCTATATTATCTTACAAAATAAAATCCCCCAAATCAACCAGTCTTTAGAAGATCTCTTTCCTTCACTGGCAAACAACCAATTACAGCACAAAAATAAACATCTCTAAGCATAAGGGTCTTCTAGGCCAAAACAACAAACAAAACCCTATCTAGCTTAAAAAACAACAACAACATTAAATGACTGTTTGCTTGTAGACAGAACAAAGTAGAAAGGCTGAGCTCCCAGTTTAAACACAAAACAGGAGAAAAAGGTGTAAGACAAAAAAGGCAGAGAACCTCTACCTGCTTCCACTGTGAATCACTACAATTGCCTTTGTAAAGACACACCTTTACTCACACACCCAAAAAACAACACACCAAGCTTCACAAGTTTACACAGTTTACGGGAAAAGGTGTGGCATTTTGAGATCTGCAGTAGCTGACGAGCTGCAACTCATCTCAGCTGTGGTAATAAGGCAGACCTGAAACACAGGAGGACAAAAACTCTCACATTTGGAGATCCCCAGAGGTCAGTGACCATAACAGGCAAGCTGTAAACACTTGAGATGTTAAATATTAATTATCACACATCAAAGTGGCTCAACACACTCAGAGCAGTTTCTGTTCTACACACCTGTGCTTATCACATTACATCAAACACTGCATTAAAATTATTTATGCTGGAAGATACAAAAAGTCTTTTTCATCATTTTATTAAATATGATAAATATAATTTTCAATGAAGACGCCACATCAAAAAGTGCTAGGTCCCTTTGCTACGGTTCGGAGCCGCGGACCTGTTTTATAAACGCGTGGAATAGTTTTCTACACGAGATCGCTGCAAAAAGGTGCAGCCTTACCTAATGTCCACCTACTGTTACTCATTTATATTAAGATTTAAACATCTAGTTTGTGTTGGTATCTGGTACTGTCATAGAGTAACGTATGGAATATGTTACAAAATACATTTTGGGCATGTATTCTGTAATCTGGTGGAATAGATTTTAAAAGTAACCTTCCTGACATTGGCTGTAATATTCTTTCTTAGACTTACAGAAACAATCAGAAAGGAAGGATGTGGGTAAGTGTTTCATTGTGAACAGCAGAGCATAACAATCTCCAACTTTTTGTTTTTAATTTTGTTATAGGTTGGTCAACCAACCAGCTGGCAAACAGCAGAGTACAACCAACTCTGTCAAGGTTGGAGCTCTCTGCTAGTTTCTGCTGTCACTAGACTGCATCAGTGCAGTGTGTCAACAATCAGCTTGAGGAAGCGGAAGTTACGGTCAAGGTAAGCGATTCATGTTGTAACTGACGTCAGACGCCGGAGATTTTGGCGGAAAATTAAAGCAAATGGTAGTTTAGATTTGAACAAATTTCTTTAAGCTTCAGTATTACCAAATACACTTATCAATTGTCTCATAACTAACAATATTTGTCTAAATAATCTCCAACACCCTGGAGAACT